AGAATTGATTAACTTTACGTGTTCTTTAATTCAATTAACCTAAATTAATTAGGAAAATGAATAAGAGATTCGGATGTGATGATTTTAGTAATTAGAGGCAATCTATTTGGCTTGCAAAAATGTTTATTAGAATTTATGTGAAGATAATGAAGATTGTCTGATTAAATGTCAATTATGCGTATGATATATGTTATCGGTAAGATTGCTTCTCAATTATCTTTCTCTTAATGTTATGAAATAGAAAAGCAGCAACAGAATAAGCTTTTACAAAATTCGTAATTCATTTTGGATGATATTACATCGAATATCAATTAAAAGGAATGCGATTAAAGAATTTAATAAGAATCGTTTAGGATAATTATAGTGGAATAACTGTCAACAATTATAATAATAATCACCTTATAATTGCTAAAAATTTCAATATTTTATCTTATAATTATGCACATTTTAGAAAGTTCTGTAGAATATGTTTTTTAGAATACCTAATTCCGTAATGTATCAGCATTTGCATATTATTAAAATCTCAGAAAATCTGAGTAATTAATTAGCCAAACTACACGTGTACAACGATGCAACGATATTCCTCCAATTACTTCTCGAATTTTTTGCGATAAAATCTATCGCGTACGCGAATCTTAATAAGTTTTTGAGCAATTGAAGTTTGAACTCTGTTATAAGTTCAATCTGCATAAATCTCAATTTCAGTTGAAGCCAAATAAGCTGGAAGCAATTCAAACGGCAGGAATTCGAGATTCATGAAGTTAAACCGAAAAATATTATAAAATATCAAATCTCGAAATTCTCAAGCTTAAGTATTTACTCAAAATAGAAATGCTAAAAACTTACAACTAAAAGGTTGTACATAAGAACCAGGCAACTCCATATTTTGTCAATATTGAGATTGTATTATATGCTCAAGAAAAAAATTATCCCACATTACGGTGCAAGAACCATGGGTTTCTAATAATTATCTTTCGTGTTATGGTCAAAATGGAATCATTTGGATATAGCATTAAACAATCCACAAGAAAGGAAGTACAATATATAAACTTCATACTTTTTAAAAATATTTTTGTAATTATAATAATGATTATTCTTCCTTCGTTATTTTCATATTTACACCATTCAAAACATTGATTAAACGTTTTGTTTACAAAAATATATTTCTATTGAAAGTACAGCAACAAAAAACATTAAATTAATAAAGTTTGATTCAAGAACCAGGTGGCTCCAAAGCACATGTATTGTTATATAAGTATTGAAAATTGCAATTTTTTCTGCAATGTTTAAGGCATTTATAAAGAATATATTATCATTTTCTTAATTTTCTAATTACTTCTAAATAGTTCTTTCTCAGTCATCTAAAACTAATGGAAATGGAGATGACTAGTTTTGCATCTAACCCTTCAATTAGTGACCCAAGTCTGCGGACTGATGGACCCATAAATCCACGATACAGACTCCCCAGACATAGGAACCTAAATCTGAGGATCTTGAACCCGAGAATCGAGATCCTTGATCTTGGCTAGTAATCTTGGGACCGGGAGTCCTTGGGCATGGTTCACCGAGTGCAGGTATCTTCAGATTTGCTTCTCGACGCCTCTCATTGGAGCAGGTTGGAGGATCGAACGTTTTACATTGTATTGTATCTTCCCAATAATCTTTCAATATTACCAGTTTTAAGTTTTCTATATTATTATTACCATTATTATTATTACTATTATTGTTAATATTCTTATTATAAAATGTCAAAATTAGAAATATAATATTAATTTTATAGAATTATTAATTCGTAGTGCATTCTGCAATGCAACCTAGTGGAATTAAAAAAATCTGAACCGCATTTCAAAATAGTAGAAGTTCATTTTTTGACATCACCAAAAATATGATATATTGAAACGTCGGTTTATGGCTCGCTTAAACCTATCCGATAATGTTTAAAACAGCACAAAACCTTATCTCTAAGTTCATTTCCAACGACAGTGATATGCAAAAAAAGGCACGATTACAAGAAATGTGACAAGCAAGTTTAACTAATCGTATGGTAAAATATTACTAAAACTTGAAAACTTATTGAATTCATATAGGCATATTAAAGAATCTAATGTTTATAACCGCGAAAGCAATATTTGGGGCAATAAACAATTCGAATGATCATTCAGCTTTACCAAACATCGTATCAGAAATAAATTCATAATAATAAGTACATCCCGATATTGCACCGGAAGATTTTCAGAACATCATGAGTCCAGATATACACATAAACATTTTTTTCTGATAATATTTTACAAACGTTTTTTAATCAATTCAAATCTCTCAGCAATTATCTCAACAATCTTTACCAAAACCATTCATCATGCTTTTTACGCTTGTTCCCCTTATTCCACGATACTTTAGCATTTCTTTTAATTAAAGAATTTGAAATGAATCGAAGAACTTTTGATACAATTAAAACACAGCAACGAACCTTTTTTAAATTAATTAATTTAACAAAAATCAATGACAAATAATTTCTCTGCGAGTTAGTTCCACAAAATATCGTCTTTATCTCATCAGAAAATGTTAAAATATTTCTAGTGAAAAACTTCCGAGTGCAAAGCGTTAAAAGTTGTTCGATTTCGACGCCAAAGCGGCCGAGTGTCCTCACTGCGCGCCGTGGACGCCTTGTCGCGTTACGGAAAGAGATCGGCGTACCCCGCGGATTGAAAATCTCGTTGACCTTCCCGTAAGTACCTATTCCAGCCCTCGTTGTCTTCCACGTGTAAATGTCGTCCACGTGCGAAACACGTATATATCGGCACACATTTTACAAGTCAGGGCTAAAATAAGTACTTAGGTGAAATCAGGCGTGGGCTTCGCCTTTCAGAACGTTCGGCCGTCGTTTGATCGATGTATAGGCCAGTAGAACGTGTGTGGTAAGTTTAGAGCGGAAATTATACAGGGTGATTCAGAAATGCATGCCCATACTTTGGGCGATGAACCTACACGTGAGAATAAGTGAAACAAGTGTTATAAATTCGTGTACTGTACACGATGTCCTATTTTAATTTATAAATGCATTATTTATTTAATACTACGTTTAACTAGAATTAGTTTACCACTAGAACGAATATGTGGATGTGTATCCTAATTGTCTATTTTTGGACCTCTAATTTTTAAGGTGTAGAATATAGTATTAATATAGTATAGAATTGCAGAATATATATAAAGTACTAATTGTACAATAAGTGGTTGTAAATATAACGTTGAAAATTATTTTAAATGGAATTTTTCTATTTTATGGGTCTTCGATGCAAATAGACTAACACTTGTTTGTGTGATCTGTTGCATCGATTGATGCAAAAAGAATTACATGATTAGATTTTAAAGTAAAAATAGATTGTATTTATAGATTAAGATCAGACAACCTATATATATTCTACATTATTAATACTACGACAATATTATATGTTTACCACTTATCCAATGTTTGTAAACAATATGCATCAAAGATATTCGAGGAATACCTGGTATTTTTCAAAGTGTAGGCTCATCAATTTTAAAGCGTCCAGTGTGTTCAGGCACGAAGCAGAAAGTGTGAACGTTTTCTTTAAAAATGTATAATTCCAAAAATAAGATATATAAGACATGTATTAATATTTTCAAGTGTGTATGTATAAACATGCATTTATAAATTATCCTACATACATATATAGTTTGCCGATTCCTTGCACAATTAACGAATAAATTCCGATAAGATCATATAGTAGTTCGATAAGGTTTGGCAATTAATATTTCTTGATAAGCTACCTCGGACGAACTGCACTTCCGGGAACAAGGATGAAGATCGTTCTTTTGCAAAAATGATTGCTATTACAAACTCTGACGAGTATAATTCATTAAACATTATTTTATTTTTATATGTAATATTAGAGCATGTTGTGAAATAAAATAATTGAGTAATTAACCGACAAATAATTGTTAAATATTAAAGACTAATAATTTTAGGTTATGTTGTGTTTTATGTATAATAAAGATGGTTTGCGATAATTTGTGAAAGTGAGTATATTGTAAATTCAAGGATTTGTTAACAATAAGCTTTAAATTTACAGAATTTTGTAAAATGAGTGGTCACAAAGTACAGTAAAAAAATGTATAATTTAAACAAATGACAAAATTGTTATTAATAAATAAGACAATAGTGATGTTTCAGAAGATTGAAATTTGTAACAATTCGTATACTGAAAACTCTCTTTTAAATCACACGCCACCTGGCCAAATGAAATGAAATTGTCATTTTTCGATTAGTTATTACTGTTTAATTAAGTATTCTGAATAGATAAATTATTATTTTATAAATTTCCAGCGATTGCAACTAAAACTTGTAACTTGCAAAACTCGTTAATACGTCAAGCATTACGTTTAATGATGGATGAACATGCACCGCAAAAAATTATTGCTTAATAATGTCGTAATGCTTGATAAGTAATTAGAGCGTGCAGAATGGTTATTTGCAATAAGAAACCGATGCAAATGAAACACGTGCGACAACATCAGACGAAATAACGATGTTCGCTAATTGTCCATTTATTCAGTATTAAATTGATTTGCAACAATCTGCATACGCGATTCTAATGCAATGCCTATGTTCAAATAATAAACGAACACATGTGATATCTGCATTCCCGTTTTGTGTTACGAAAGAAATAAATAACGCAACGTGGTTTTATATGCACGCTTAATTTCTAAAAACACTATACTTAAATTCATAAAACATCGTCAACGAGTATTCATAAAATATTTTAAAATTTTGCTACAGTTGAAACAATTATGCAAATAATATATGGAAAATTGTGTTACAAAATTGATTCTGGAAACGAAGCTTTTGATCACATTCAAATATCAAATAAAAAATCGATACATTCAATGAACAATCAATGTTCAGTTATTGGATAAATAATACACAGATTCGTTCAAAAATATAAGTATATAACAGTAAACCATATCGCAATGTGACTTACCGGTTCGCAGGCTACGTGCACGAGCAACCAGCACAGCTCTCGAAATAAATTCACAGAGTTATGCCGTCTTCTCTGTTTCAGTTGTCAATCACTCTGATGTCTACGAAAAAGTCGATCAATCGCAGAAACGTACTGTCGCGCGAATCACCGTCGAAGCGTTTTCGCTGATCGAATCTCGATAGCTTTAAGTCCGTATCAGCGGAATTTTATAAATGTCACTTGTCGCATGTAAACGCACGTGAATCGAAAGCGATCGTACGGTTTCGTGAAATTGCCTTTCTTCTTAACAGAACCACACGTTTCCAAGCATGTCAGTGTGCGAAGTTACAACCGCCTGAACAAAAGTGTTTACTTCCAGTCACGACGATTGGTCGCCGTGACGACTTGGAATGATGATCTAAATCCACCGGCGTCTGTACGTCAACTAACTGCGATCCGGTGCCGCCATGTTATCCCCCCTCGTGGTCGCGCGGAACATGGTCACGCGTGCGTAGATGCACGATTCTCGTTATACCCGCGTTCAACTTCGATATTACGACAATCCCGATAACAAAAGCCGCGGCACGTGTATCCCCACCTCGAATGGGATACCGTAAAAGATTCCGCGGGAAAACGAAGCGAAACGTGCTTCGTGGAATTTCTTTCTTGTTCTCTTCGCACCGTACACCACAGAGTCAGTACATAGCTGCGAGGTGGTAATAAAAGTATGTGTCATAATTTCGGAGTAAGTTTTCCGCTTTAACCCTCTGCAGGCCCATGTAACTTTAAAGTCGCATATTAGTATATTGGCATCTTGTTGATTTATTTCATTTTGCACTCGAAGTGGTCAATAAAATTAAGTAATCAGTTTATACGCTCAGGCGTGAAAGTTTAACGTCATTGTAACTTGAAAGTTACAAAATATATTCGTTTGATGAAATTATTGAAACTATTGAATACATTGTCAATTCGTAGCCATATGTGGATATTTATTAATTTTGTTCGGTAGTTCTAGTGTTAATTACTGTTTACACGTGATATCGATTCACGCGATGTGAATTTAGCGATATCGAATAAACTTTACTTTTTGTTTTCAGAGATGTTATTATTGTTATTTTTCTGTTAAGCTATGTGAAATAAATATGTGTTTTTAAAACATATACTAGCTGTTTTTTAAATATTCTGTTTTCTTTTGTATTGAGAAAGTATGTGATTTATAATCGCGTAAAATGAATCCTATTCTATTGAATTTTTTAGTTGCAAAAATGCGAATGATTATGTACTTATAAGAAACTTTTTAAAATATATGAAAGCTTTGATCATGCGAAATTTGATAAAATTCTATACATTTTATAGTCTCCTAATTACAATACAGCTGAAATTTATAAATATAAATACTGTTATAAGCAATCTTAGAGAAAGTAGAATCTAATAAAATTTTATTCTTTCTAGGTCACAGGTCAAAAATAAAATAGAATTATAGTAAATTCTTTTAAACTTGATGTTTTAATGTTCCCTAAGGATTTTGAAGAGCTACAAATGCCAAGATAAATATTAAAATACCCGTATGGCGGTACGAATAAGTTTACAGTCTGAGAAAAACAAAAAGGATCAAACTTTGGTAAATATAATCAACCGTCAAATGAAAGGAATTTAAGGCAACAAGCGTTATTTAAATTTATATTAGACATTCAAATTTGATACATAAAATAGTTTTACACGGAGCTAAATTATATTAATTTAAACAATAAACCTGTAAGATAAAACAGAAACTAGTAAGTCTGTAACGACTTACGGCAATCGTTCCTGGTCGATCTCATAAATCGTTATAAATGTCATCGAATGATTTCTAAATCAGACGCGAAATCTATGTCAAAGCGAGCAAAGGAATAGAGTTTCACCACGGACACGTGGTATGAAATAGTTACGGGTATTATAGTGAGATTTACTGTATAATTCCGATGACGCACGGAAAAGGCCGTTTAAGGCAGATGGATCTGTCGCTGTGCAGGCTTCCTTTTCTAAATGTAAATTATAGTCTGTTTTTTCGAAAGAAGTGCCCTAAGATGTATCAATGGCCAGAATAACTGCCCACTCTACCACAAATATTCTAAATTAATATCATTTACATGCTCCAACTGAAGTGGCCTATTGTGACTGTCGGTGTATCTTCTTTTAGGAAAACAGACTATAGCAATCAACTGTCGACAGGTTTTCCTGTTATTTCCGAGACGATCAACGTTAATACGCACCTGACCATACCACAAACCAGCTGTCTTTAAAAACCATGAACATTACCTACAATGTTCCTCAACCGTTACTTTTGCATACTTCATTTTATAGGTTGTATACTCATTATTATATGTTTTTATTTGTAATATATTATTCGTTTTGATAAGTTATTAACGTTATTAACCTTTTACATACAAAATTATTTTTTAATTTTAGATTTTCAATGAAACTGTTAATTCAAGTAATTTTAATAAATTGGTGACATTATTAACTTTTTATGGACATTATTAATCCTTTAAATAATTAAAAATAAATTGATAAACTAGTAAAATTATTAACTATTTTCAGACAAGAATTTTTTGAACTTCTAAAAACTTTTTGTATAAAAAACTCAATTATACATCGAAACTTTTGGTATTGTAAATATTGTAATAGCATTATGCTATAAATAGTTAAAATTCAAAACATATTATTGTTTTTTCCTTTTTAAAAGAATGTCTGAAACTCAGGATGAATAAAAAACAGTTTATTTGCAACCCATTATGAAGCAATAATAAGAAAATGATTCTTCCCTTAGATTTTCTTCCGACACATCGTATGTGTCTTTAGTTATTCTTAGAAACAACATTGAAGTGCTATATTCTTTTTACAATAGAATTTAAATGTTTTCTCTTTGACTGACGCGGCTAATAGTTCAGCCGAAAGATCTCACACGTTACGAAAAGTAAAATAGAAATTAAAATAACCATTTCCTTCTTGCTCTTCTCTTCCCCGTTTCATGGAAGATACCGGTGTTGCGTAACAAGAAATTTCATTGTGTCATTTGTGTGACTGGAGACAATGCTGTGGAACAATACGCGAGGAGGATATACAGAAATCTTAAGAAAGAGCCAATTTAGTTTCAATCAAATAACACATTTAGAATATTATCCTTCACTACAAAAGAATAAGTGTTACGTAAAACATTGAAATTTTTCGTGGCAGTCAACATATTAATCGAAATATTTCTAATTGTAAAACCCTTTTCTCATAACAGCCATCGCAAAACATTGGGACCTTTTAACCATTTAACTGTAATATTTAGTTTTAAAAATCTCGTGGGATATGTAATAAAATCAACTAAAAACGAACATATGCTTCGAACACAGGATAAATGGCACCTGATACGTATATATATATTTTTTCTATTCTAACAAAATTATTGAGAATTATAAGTTCATTTGAAGAAATAAATAAATAATTGTTGAAACGTTAACTGGTTAAATGAATTCAGTGTGTTCCACAAAGGCAACAGGGGGAAGTGCATAATGGTTTTGGGTTGCGTGTAGCAAATTAAGGCAGGAACGAAAAAGAAACATTGGCGTCACAATCGGGAAGGAGAGAGAAGTTCAGAAAAAGAAGGGGAAGGAAGTCGCACGTGTAGCCAACTTCCCCACTCTTGGCTGGTCTCTCGGTTGAAAGGAGCGTCCTTCACCAATCCTCCCAACCCTTCTAGTCCTCCGACCTCTTTCGGCCGTCACATTGTTCCCCTCTCCAACAAAGATCACGATGACCTGCAACCAATCAGGGTCGTTTGCAATGTCTCCACGTGGCTCCTATCGCGTAATCGATGCATATGCACACACCCAGCGCGTGCTAAACTGGCAATTTTCTGCATACATTGTTTAATTGGTTTAAAGCATTCTTAATTGGAATTCATTTTAATATCCTGTAACCGTGGTACACGTGTGAATCACACAAAAATTTGAAGTAATTGTGACAGATAATTTACTATCGAGTCAAATAGTAAAAACGCCTTGCTAGTTCATCTTATACTGATTTTGGTATAAAAAAAAATGTTATGAATTTATATTACAACTAGAAAGCTTAATAAGATGTAGATTTTTATTTTATGGGAAACTTGATATAAATATTAAGAAAGGAGGTAATGAAATTTCTATTTTACTTTAATTTACATAAATTAGACAATAAACGTGTACATGTTTAATAGTATAAAGAAATATTATGTTTTTTATTGTTATACTTATGGTACATTTTTTAAAATAAACTTTTAATCTCATGAATTATTATAGACATTTTTTCCTATACTTTTAATTAATTTCTTTCGTTATTCTAATATACAATTTTGAAGTTCATACAAATATCCTATGTGATAGCATTTTCTGTCTAGGACTCGGAGGATTTCTACTATCGTCGTGACATTTTAGTATCACGACTGATATTATCGACAAAACAAACATTAAACTTATTAGTATAAATAAAGTATACTGCATACTTCAATTGTACTATAAGTACTTAATATAACCACAGCCGCAAAGTAGAATGGACTTTGTATTCGATAGTCTGAAATACCGATCGTGTAAAAACTATACTGTTACGACCTTGCTTGTAGAAGATATATTAAGACATCTGCATTTTCGGCGAAACTTCTGAAAATCTGAAAAATCTAATGGGGTTGAAATTTTTCAATTAGCTTCATTTTACATAAAAACAATGTTTACGAGAGAGATTTTCGGCAATACGAAGGTTAAGATGCAAAATTTTACAAAAAAGTGTTTTATCATTTTAGTGTCACACTCTGTTATTTGTGTTCTAATTTGTAAATATACTGATAGTATTATTTTATATAGGAAAAACGTTTATGCGAATAATTTTTAATAATTCCATTGAAATATCTAGTCATCACCTCTTATCTGTGACACAAAGATCCTGAGAAAGAGAGAGTTTAAAGATATAACACGTTATAATGGATACGTTTGTATGCTAGTTTACCATATTTACTACTTGGTCAACTTCGATCATTTTGCTTGATGTAGTTTTCCTATTAACCATTCTCTAGGTGTAGAGGGCAGAGCAAAATTTCTGATTTTTCACACGGTCGATAATTCAGAACATATGACATCGAGTCTCGTAAGCTTTCAATTTCTATTTTATAGTGCATCATCTGTGACACCATAAAAAAGATATTTATAAATAATAATAAAAGTTTTTGAATTATTCGATATACAGTTTTATAGATTCATAAAAGTTTGACATACTCTTTTGCCAGTTCTCGTATTGAAAATTTTCAAAACAAGTATATCGTAAATTGAACTTTGAATCCTTTCCACGTGTACAATGATAAGACCATTTTATCGACTATAAGAACACTGCATTTTATACGGTATCCAATATTAACCTGAAGAGGTCGGTAGTGTATGATCACAAATTACATCTTACTTTCTGTGGAATAATTTTAATATTCAAGTTAAAATTATAGAATATATCATACTAATGTAAAGTATTATTATTGTAGAATTTTTCTCATTAACTTCATCTTTTATAATAAAAACAAATAATGCGTACATAGTTTAGACCACTATTCAGTGGCCGGTAGCGCATATAAAGTTGAAATAAGGTAAGAGTGATAATGGTCTAAAGGTCAAATGTTTCCATTATTTCAGTGTTAAAAGTACGGTGGGAATTAAAGAATGAGTTTTATGGAGGAGCAAAGGTCGCAAGGTGCGGTCGATGAGCGATTTCAGGCCTTCATAGAGACTGAAGCTAAGAAACAACAGTTTCAGGTTAGCTCGCGAATTGTTATCGGTATTTTTTTTACATTGTTTTCGATCATGTGAAAATGTCTTCTAATCAAATTATTTATTAGTTCGTTAACACTAAATAGAATACACAGTTTTAGTACAATATGATATTACGACTAAAGGAAATGTAAAAAGTACTCATTGACTTTGCTTCCAGTGTTACATTAATCATAATTTTTCAGCTGTAAATGAGAATTAGTATTCGAAACCGTACCTTTTAACAGTGTTTTATACAATCTCCTTAATTAAATTTAGAAGTAATAAATGCATCTTTTAAAATATGCCACGTTATGTATTCATTACATGTGTCATAAAAGATACATGTATTTAAATATGTATTTAGATGTAATTGTTTTTTTCCAGGAATTGGTATATAATTTAACTGACATCTGTTGGGACATCTGTGTCGATGAACCTTCTCCTCGTTTGAGTGCTAAGATAGAAAAGTGTCTTGTAAACTGTGTAGAAAGATTTATTGATACAACAAATTTTATTACAAATAGATTAGAACGTGTAGTTGTAAATAGTTCTTCAGAACTAGATATGGAATAAATCACTCCATAATCAGGAAAACTTCGTAAAATCTAAGAGAAGCTATTGTAAGCGTTTACGATACGAAGTATGTAGCATTTTATAGACGTACAGCGTGTTAAATATCTTATATTGAAAAATGTTATCAAGAATCAGAGGATTTGTAAGCCGTCATAGGCGAAAGTTCATAGTGGGAGGTATTGTTATTGGCAGTGTTATTTTCATAAGATATACACAGCGTAAGCTTCGAGAATGGCAAGAAAAAGAGATCAGAGAAATGCTTGAAAGAACAAAGAGGCAACAGTACTTTGAATGTATTGAAAGAACATGTGGTCAGATGATACTGACACTCGCGTCAACGTTAAGAGATACTGTAATTAAAATCTTAGACACTGAAATTATTGTAAATAAACTCAGAAATGGTTGTACCGATAAAGTAGCATGTTGGAATGAGTTGAAAGTTTTAGCGATTGCCAAATCAGCTGTTATAATATATTCGTATGCAATGGCAGCTACTTTAATAAGGATTCAGTTTAACATAATAGGCGGTCATATGTATAAGGATATTCAAAACTCCAATGGTGCATCTGCGGAAAATATTGTACAGACAAAATATATGTCTCTTTCAAGTCATTTTAGGTGTGATGGCATACAAAAATTGTGTACACTTATTAAAGACAAGGTTGTAGAAATAACAACTTCGATTTCATTGAAAGATGAATTAACTCTAAGAGATGTGGAAGAAATATATTGGGCCATTACGTCCTCTATATCTACGGATAGTTCGAGGGACCCTGTGAAGAATCTCACTACATATATGTTTCAAACAGAATACAATGGTGAAGAAGATCCTATGTTTTTGAAATTGATTAATGAAACTTTAGATCTTTTGGAAACTGAAGAAGTACAAAACATAACGCAAAGTAATATCAGAAGTGGATTTAGTTTGTTAATAGATCATATGTCTGAATTTTTCACTGGTCCCCCTGCAAAGGAAAATGGCAAAACTCCAAATGGTATTTCAGTACCGGGAACATCAAACCAAAACCATATGGGTTGGAGGGAAAAGAGTAACACAGAAATGAATCCCAATACATTTGTTAACATCAATAAAGTGTCAATGCCAATGGCTAAAATAATACCAATCATAAATGGACAAGTACCAGACAAATCAATGCCAAAAGCTTTCCAAACAGATCTGTTACATCGTTTAGTAGCAAATAATGAACTTAAAACACTTGGTGCAAATATCTATGAAGCATTCAGTTTTTAAATATCAAAGATGCAATTATTTAAACCGTACACGACACTATACGGCATTATACAGTAATTTCTGCATACAAAATTTTAATTGTTAATCTATTTAAATATAAATGCATTGTTTATACTTTTAAGAAGAAATACAAATGTATCTTTTATAGTACATTGTAGTAAAAATTTTATTATAGATATTTACGATATGTTTAAGCTGCAAAGATAAACTTCTGTCACTTTTTGTATCCAACTGTGTATTCATAACATCTGAATAATGAAGACAACCTAGTTATAGTAGAACACAAAAACAGAATTGTATTACAATACTTGTTATGGTATGTAATTTCCTTAAGGGAGTATAATATATTTTTACTTTTTGAAAATACATTTTTTTATTTCATTTTCTTCATTTCCATCAAATATTTTATAAATGTAAACAACGAATATTTATAAGTAACTTTTAAGTAACTATACTATTATTTATTGAATAATAAAGATAATATTATTCAACATTTTGGTTGCACTAGTTTATTTATAAATAATTTCAATTATCGAATATGTGATTCATCAATGTCGTATGTTAAAATTAACGTTATAAAATGAATACTAATAATAACGAATAACATTTGAATTAACATCAAAGGCGATTGCGCATGATTTGCTGGACAAATTTTGAAATTCTACTACTGTGCGTTCGAGATTCAGTGTGCCGCTTTGTTTCGTGAGGTGCAGGCGGGCGCATGTAGGCGTTAGTAAGATCGCGGTGAAATTGAACATAGTTATTTTTAAATTTGAACATCTTCGGTTAATTTGTTTACAAAATGTGGAAATTCGTTACTCGTGGAATTCGCGAAACTTTCGAACGTCGTGCATGCCGTACGAATGTTTATTCACAAACATCGCAAGATAATACAAAGAATGAGGTTAAAACCAATTTGACGTGCAATCACAAGTTTTTTACACCAACCATTTCGGTTTTTAGTAAACGATTTTGCGGATCCACTAAAGCCAATGATTTTAAGGACAAAAATGAAGATTCCAAGTGGAATCCAAAACATACTTGGACCGAAGCTGTAGGATGGGTAAATTGCGTTTCGTTTGTTTATCTTTATTTTTGATTTGATTGATTGCTCATGTTTTATCATATAAAGTATAAAGTATAAATTATGATTTCAAAGTCAATTAAATTTATAAACTTCAGTACATAGAATATCTTAAAACTTGTTATGTATTGTTAATCTTCAGAGTTTTTCTATAAATATTCAATGAGTGCTTACACAAATAAATTTAAAAGTAGAAAGTTTCTCGAAAAGAGTACAATAATTTCAAATTAACAATACATTTTGACGCTTGAAGATGACATTTTTTAAAATGTTTTCGGAAAATAGAGAATCACATAAAAAGGCAACTATAATCTTCATGAAACTAGAAACAAAAATCACTGAGAAGAATTAATATACATTAAGAATAGTGCTTCAATAATATTTTTAAAATTTGATTATTTATTTTTGTTTCCATTATATTGAAATCCAATTTTAAAAACTATTGCATCATATTATTTTGAATTTATAGTTACTTTTGTAAGATGAGGTAAAACTACAGCTTATTATTTTAAAAGTTATTTTCATAAGGAAAAATCTATTGTTAAGTTTAAAAATTAACTTAAATAATCGTCTGTAAAAAAGTAATGGAACTGTATTTGTTAGTCAAATATTAGATATCAGTAATGTGATTAATTCAGTTTTTCTTATTACTGTATACTTTTCTCATCTTCATATAAATGTGAGTAATCAGATTAGTCTCAAAATAAATGTAAATGCTTATGTTATAAATATAATATTAATTGTACTTAATACATTAAATAAATAATTTGTTAACAGTCCAGCGTTTTAGCTATTGGATGGGTGGTATGCGAAGCATTATGTCTTCGTAGAAGATTTTTTGAGAAGGAAACAGATCCTATAAAAAACAAGCTATATCAGTACTCAGAAACACGCGTTTCATATCTACTTGATCAAGTACTAAATTTAAGACCAAAACATATTCTACCTGTTAACTGTGCTGGAGACAATAAAAAGAAATATGTTCAAGAAGAAACACAGACAGAATGGGAAACAGATAAACCATTTGGACCGATTACCATTGAAGAGGTGAGAATGCTGTTCTGTAGGCATTATAATTTATAATGAAAAAGAAATTAGTAATTGATAATATAGTTTATATCCCATAATAATAGAAAATACATTGATTTTATTACACCTGACTCTTGATTTAATGTTGGTATAAGAGAAAACAAAATATTAGAAAAAACAACTCATGTAAGTTTTAGAAATACATATTTATTTCACATAGCCAAAGAAAAGAAATAATAATAATGACACTTCAGAAAAGAAAAGTACATTTTATTCTGTGTTATTAAATTCAGATTACACATAAAAAGTAAAGTGAAAATAGTGTTCTAATTCACCATGTAAAAAAAGTCCGTATAAATAGAGGGTCAGGTGTATTTCATTACACTTTTGTAGCTTCTAGTATTTCTCTTGGGATAGAAATTTTATGTAACTCTAAATGTTGTATTGTAAATGTTTAAATTGATTGCACAATATATTCGTGTAAAATGGTAAAAAAGAATGGTATATAAAATTCAAAATTTTCTTCTTCCATCTCCTTCCCAAAATTAATTTCTGTCCAATCACTTCTAATTTATTATCATAAATATGAAATTAAGAAATATTTTCTAGAATAGTAAAATATATTGTGTTCTAAATATTTTCATCTAAAAGTATTTCAAATTGTAAATTGATAAGACAATAATTAGAAGAAAACATTGCTTTGATGCAAGTTACTTAATTGTGCAATATTGAAAATTAATATAATTCATTTTATTTAAATAAATGCTATGATTTTGGTAATATTTTTTATGGAGTGTTTATTTTTTATACCTATTCTCAGGCCCTCAAAAAAGCCACTGAAGAATTTGCTAATACTCACAAAGTAGTTACTGGTGAATTCGAACTTTTTTATGGACTTAAAGCTTTAGAAGAAAAACGTTACAAAGATGCAATGAAGCATTTTGCTGCTGGTGCAAAGTTATCGTCTGCTGCTAGTATGTTTAATTTGGGTTTATGTTATGAACTAGGCCTTGGAACATTAGCTGATCAAACAAAGGTACAATATTCTTAATTTATATTAATATCAGCTATTAAACATATTTTTAAGATTATTGCAACTTCTATGTATCAACTAAATACATTTTATTTATTTCTGTAGGCTGCAAAATATTACAATGATGCAGCAGAACAAGACCATGCAGATGCTATATATAATTTAGGGGTTTTCTATGCACAAGGTAGAGGCAATTTTCCAGTAGATTCTGATAAAGCTCGTAATTATTTCATTAGAGCAGCTAAATTAGGACAAAGTCAGGCACAGCATGCTCTAGATTTAGAGAAACGCCATTATCAGTCAGTTCAAAATGAATCTAATAAAATATATGGAAACGAAAGTGAAAATACCGTTAAATGTTTGCAAAATACTAAGGATATAAATCATATTCTTAAGAAATTGACTAATTATAGTAATGTGTTAAATACGCATTTACATATGGAAACTGTAGAAAATTCTGATTACAAGCAAAATGGAGCAAAAGCTAAGAATTCAACAGACATATTTTTAGATCTGCTGGGTATAAGTGAATCAAATATATTACCTGTTTCATTGGAAAGAGATAAGTTTAGTGTGCCATGTTAAAACATAAGAAATAGTAAGTGAAAATACGATAACAAATAAGTTACAATCTATACGTTATGAAATATTTTTTTATGAATTTTGTCAATTATACGAGTTATACGATAACGAGAATTTAAAAACAAAATTGTATTTCGTATTTTTACTTCCATAAGTACTAATTCTATGATAAGATCTATACATAAAATATACAGTATTTCTATAGAATTATTTATTATCTGTTATAGTTTCCTTGTAAATATTCGTTTTTAAAAATATTTACAAAACAGAATCATGCTGTAAACGTAACATACATGTAAAAAAGTATTTGATTTTTACATTCGATAAAAAGAGACAAACTCATTTAGATTGTTTTCATAAACATATTTGTCATGCCTTTGACATATTATCTTTGTTCAAATACATATAATTTGATGCAAAGGTATCTATATTTTAATGATGACTTCAAGTTATATAATTCCATTGGGAATGGGATTGTTGTCTGTGATTAAATAAGTACATAGAGTATGTATATAGATATATATTTATCATAAAATGAGTCATTGAATGCTTATGTTTCATGTAATCTACAAATATAACTTGTACAATTAATGAAATGTATTATATGACATTGAAAGTTAATCTATCTTTTACTGATTGCATTGTTTTTCCATTAAATATAAAAATCATTTTTCATCCATAATATTACTTTTTGAGTATTATCATTTTTTATTAATCTTTGTAAATACAAGTATAAAAATAAATTCATCTAAAATAAATAACAAAGTTCACGTTTTGTTAATGAAAGTAAAATACTAAGTATTTTCACCAATGTGCGTTATGTTTTTGTACTGTCTTCTGTATAAAGTCATTATGACTAGCATACAGATTTAACTTGCTATCAATATCCATCCATTTAACATTACGTGCATCATCTCCAGCAATTAAAGTTAACTGTCCAAGAATACTACCATCTTTGTCATGAAAATTTGAAGCTACAGTTTCCATCCATGCGTTGTCTGTATTTCTAGGGTCATCTACATATCCTGTATAGATTTCTTCCCCTTTCTCAAAAAAACCTTTGAGGGATCTTTCCAATTCTTCTCTCGATGCTTTATCTTTTTCCATAGAATTCATGGCTTCTTCCATAAATTCTCTCTTAAGAGTGGTCGATATAGTTTCTCCTGGATCAACCATACCACCAGGTATAGCCCATTCTCCAGAATCTCGTCTTTGTATTGCAACAAATTGCAAAATCGGTTTGTTTGAACATTTGTTTATTTCCAACGCTTCGGAAATATTTCGTTTCCAACGTGTTACAATTGGATCTGCTGCATGATTTGGACCCCATCGTCCTAAGAGGCCGCGTCCAATAATACCGGTACGACCGATAGGATTTAAAGGATAACCCTCTTCATTTATAATGTAATTGCCAGTGAAACTTTTACGATTGACATGACCTATTAACAGGAAATTTACATACAAAAGCTTCACGGCATTCAGTTTATTTCTCACTACGAATATTGAGGTGGATTAGGAAATATAAGAGAAGTGGTTATGTTTTAACTTTAGTACATAACGCAATGTTATGGAATGATTATGCATATTCAATAATCGGATATGATTATTACGTAATATTTACGTATGAAATAACTAATATCTAAAAAATTAAAATTTATTTTTTGAACAACTGGTGGAAAATATTACAAAATGGAATAGTGTAATTATAAAGTACTAAATGTTTCAGAAAAATTATTTAATTTCATCATAATATTTTATAAAAACTCTTTCTTTTTCATTACGAATTTTAAGGTTTTGTATTAACTATATTTTCATAAATTTGTCAGAGGAGTATGTTGACAAAAATATATTATAACATTAAATGTGTAGTGTTGACAATAACTTTGACATATTAAATAAATAAAATATAGAACCTGAATTTTATTGAAAAATTTTTGGGTTAGGTTTAATTTCTTGGAAGAATTTAAAAGAGAAAACAAAATACATTATACATAAATATAATATGTTTGCAATAATGTCTCACCATCAAGAGAATTCCATTTTGGTTCGAATGAACTTTCTCCAATTTCCGGATCCGCCCAAGGTTTACCTACAAGTACCGAAGCGGTATATTTCACTGGTTTATAATTTAAAAATTCGACATTCCATGGCACTTTGCTGTCAGGTACTTCGAACCGTTTTACGTTACTAGAAGCATAAAAACTTTGTCTACATTTATAATGTATCATTCTGACTATGTTTATATGCATAGAGTGCAGTTCTTGCTTACGTCCTGAGACTCAAGACAAAAGACGTGAGAGTTGCACTGGAGAAATGTATTAAAACACGTGTTAGAATGTTTTCGAAAGCACAATAAAAACCAATGTTTATTACATAGACTTTTTGAGGTATAAGGTTATATTTAAAATACAATATGAGTATACAATTAAAACTAATTATAGTAATTTCCTAATTTTTATGTATAATGATAACAGATTATTTAATTTTACGAATTGGAATAATAATAAATTTTTACTCAAATCTAACGATTCTGTTTATTTCATATATAATAATAAATACAGTTGAATATACTCGTAACGTCATCTACAGTAAACTACACAACGTACAAGCACAGATACCGTATAAGAATAGATTGAACACCTAATGTGTTTGTACAGCTCAAGTTATTTGCCTTACCGACCCAAAATGTTAACACTGTTTTATCGTGTTAGATTTGTATCACCGACGAGATATGAGGTCGACTGGTCATGCAATGTAAATTTTTGTCCCACGGTCAGAAGTTACGTGAACCCCTTACTATTTCCATATCACTTACAAAGTTACCAACCGAGTATAAGTAAATATAAATAAATTAATTAAATAAATTGCAGTATTCAAAATTGCTTAAATACAATTACAATAAGAAAACTGACGTCGAATAAAAATACTTAGTAACACAAACAGCTAGATGATAGTGTAACACGTGTTCTGTGATATCAAGTCATTAATAATTATTTCTAATACCATTTGCCTTTGTTATAAAAGAATATGTATTGTTACAGAAAACGTTTGAAATTCTCTTGACAGTTAACGTGTTAATGGCCTTAAGAGGCAAGCTGATTGAAGAAGCAAGTCACTCGAACGTTTTCGTTGCCAGAGTCGATAACAACGTAATTTTTAGAACCGGTAATACTGTAAAAATTAGTCTCCTAAGATACACTTTTCATGTTGTAGTGTTATATAGTTCAGTATTTGACCGTTTGAGACAGGCAGAGTCCGCTAGTGTATTAGGGCATTTTTGACAGCGTCGGTATTTCAGAACAGTAAACAGAAAAATACATTGTAGGTGTTTATTTGCATAGTCTGTATCCTTAAGTCCGTGGTTTTGATTGCTTTAATTAAAAGGTATACTAAGAAGTAGGAAAATATACTTACAATAACAGAAAAAAATGTGTCTGTATTTCCGAAAACTTTACAAATTCGATGGAGACAAAATTTTGCAAATAAAAACAATTTTTGCGAGAGCAATTCGTGGTGATGCAGCAGTTAATAAGATGCAAAATTATGCAAAAAAGCGTCTTATCATTTTAGTATCACATCTTGTAATTTTGAAAATATGTATATCATGATTGGATTCCTCTTTTTTACCCACAGCTTCATTTTGCATGGGGACAATTTTTACCAGAAGGACTTTTAGCAACTTAGAAGTTAGGACACAAAATGTTCAAGATTTTTGTTATTTTTGTAATTATTGCTTTTATGCAAAATGAAGCTGTCGAAAAATTTCAACCCAATTGGATCGATAGATTTTAAAAAGTTTCGCTAAAGATGGTCGATTGGAAGTTAAAAATTCGTTGCAAAAAGAAATTGTTATTTTATTGTATTTTGTCATAAAGCATTATTAAGAATTTCTTAACCATCCAATAATACCTTCCATTGAGTTCAGATTAATGTCCCAACTTTCCTGAGACTGTTCCATGTCTTAAATATCAAATTACCTACACAATTACGAAATATTTACGTTTGAAAGAACGATATACAAACAAAATCAATCAGAATTTCCATTCTTACAAAAGCTATTCGATGTTAATACATCATTAAGTTAATAATTTTAAATTAAATTAAATTTCCAATCACCATTTATTACTATTACTATTGCCGATTTCATCCTTAACTCTTCCTTTTAATGAATTCGATAAGCTTCTCAACAACAAAATGTAAAATTCTAATAGTCCACTTCAATCACGATCATCCAGCCGCCTGGAATCAAATCAGAAGCAAGCCTCGCCACGACAAATAGAAGAAGTTCGGTTGGCAATAGGTATCTTGCAAGAGAATAGACGAAAAGTATCAAGAGGCAATCTATCAACGTGTGTGGCAATATCTTTCGCTCTTCGTGGATAGTGCACGCTTTCATCGGAACTCCTTTTGATACACGATAGCAAGCCTGACAAAAACTAATATATCTGACGGCGGGGAACCAGGAAGAATCTCGTGCAATCAAAGAAACACGGTGATATCGCGGCGGTATCGAGACGGTTTTCTTAACGGGGAACACCGACACCGGGAACAGCGAAACGAGCGTTCGTCTTTGGCCGATCGAGCGCACCGATAATCCCGCTTACAATTTACTGTCATTCGCGGATCGGCTCGGCGAGAAACAGCGCAGCACCGAGATAGAACCCTCTGAATCGTAGCACCGATAGAGCCACGGTTGCGTTATGTTGCCGCTAATTTGGATTTATGTTCGCATTCGCACGTCGTGTCCCGTCTCCCGACGCTTCGCGCCGCCTCCGACACCGTCCGATCTCCGATCGCCGCCCCCCTTTTTCCACGTTTTGCAGAAAATTTAGCGGCCCGTTGACCGTTTCGAAGCGGGTATCGGGGAATCGCGGGATACACCTGATGCGACGGCAACAAAGGAATCGCGTTCCACAATGGGATACCATCGGAAATTTCTTTGTCGAAACTTGTTTGATTTTTGTAGTTTTAAAGTTAACGTGTTGACTACCACAGTGATCACCGATGACCGGGGCTTTTAAATTGTTGAATTATAGTAAAAAAATTGATTTTAAATGGAAATATTTAGTAACACGAGTAGCTAGATAATAGTATAATATGAGTACTGTGATACCAAATTATTAATAATTATTTTCAATATCATTCGTCTTTATTAAAGAATAGATATTAGTATACCAATAAATTATTATAAAGAATAGTGAAAATCGACATTCTTTGAAACTGACTAATGAGAAAGTATACATAAATTAAGAAATAATGTTATTTTATTTCACATTATTGCACATACTGATGCATTGTAGAAACCTTAATATTAGATATACGACTGCAATTTAAATATCAAATCAAGCGGTGACCTCTCAATTGTAAAGGGTTAATTCATATTACCACTCATTGAAATTAATAAATTTACCACTCGGTTGCCAGTTAAAATGTAGTATATATCGGTGTAATATACTGAAGTATACTAGTAGTGACTTATACTATGTAGACGTTTACTATATAGATATAGAAAAGTGTACTGGAAGGTTATTAGATATAGAAAAGTATAATAATAGAAGTACACTAGATATAGAAAACTATACTAGAAGTATACTAAATATAGAAAAGTACATTAGAAGTATATTTAACACGTTGAACGCAATGGGGATCACCGGTGACCCCCAATCAAATCCAGTTACTATGTTCACTCAATGAAACAATGATTAATTGGAAACATTTCTATGTTATAAATAATTCTACCTAATACAGTGACATTCAGCTTGATGAACGTGCAATAATAATAACGCAATTCAATCAAATGATTTAGTATTATATTTTTTTCCATTATGTGTATTTTGCTCTATGAAATTATGCGGCGTTCAACGTGTTAATTGCAGGAAAGCATACTAGGGGTATATTTAGTTACAGAAAGGTATACTAGAAGTATATTTAATTACAGAAAAGTATACCGTACGATACAAGGTGTAGGAAAAGGACATACGCTGCAGACATCAGAGTGAACTTACTTCGACTGGACGCTTTCCTACATCTCCTCGAACGGCGCATCGTTTTTCGTTCGTCGGAGCTTTCAATGAAACATCCTCTCGCAGAGACTGGAAGACGACAAGTCGTGGAAGAAGTTAGGAAGAAAGGGTGGAAGGTGCAAACCGCCGAGTATATCCGAGGATAACTTCTATCGCGGAAACTATCGGTCGTCGTCCTGCAACGCCTGTAATCTAGCACCGTAACCACATCGTCGCAGGAGGGCGGGGAAGAAAAAACCGGCAGAAAATGAAATACGGATTACAGTGGTTGGCCAAGCCATGATAATGACGGGTAATGACGACCTCGACCGTGCCTTCGCTACCACGGTGCCGTCCGGATCAGATTTTCGATTTTTTCGCGCCGCCCCCGCCTGTGCGCCATTTTCTTGTCGTCGATGCCGCGCAATTTTCGTACTGAGTTACCCCCTTCGCGTCGTTTAGATGCGGGCTTCGTATAAGATTACCCAACCATGGACAATACCGTCGCAGCGGTAATAAATTAATATTTTTACCTTAATCCGTTGTCCCGTGATCTCGAAGTTATGGGCGATTCGGGTCCAGAAACAGGAGAACTAGAACAGTTTTCGAATTTATAGAGATAAAGCTGTGGCAGATAATTTAACCCTTTGCACTCGTGTGTCATGACAATACAATAATACGTGTGTCGTGTGGATAACAACAAGTATTACACTTTACAAGATTATAAAAATAAAAATTTTATAATAATAATAGATGAAATAAATATGAAACGTTGAATTCTACCGCTGTAAATTACTTCAATTCATTTCTCTAAAAATAAATACAAGTTTACATCCAATGATATTGAAAATAAATCGAGTGTAAGGGATTAATGTGAGTTCTTTTATTAGGGATGTTAAGTATGAAAGTAGTTTACAAGTGGTATCGTGGAGTCGTTGAATTGGATGTGTTTTGAAATGTTAATTTGGGATATGAAACAAAATTGAATTATTGAGAATTTTGTCGTAGGCTAATCTTTGAAAATTACAAAAGGCATCTTTTTAGTAAATTAACGATATTTAAAATTGGAAAATCAGTTTTGCTTATTTTTCCCTTCCTCTTAATGGTATTAAAAATTTAATTTTGAAAATCTCGAAACGTCAAAGGTTTATTCGATTATATTAAATAGCTGATTATATGTTAATTTAGCCAGTTTCACGCGAAATAAATAAGCAGCTTTTATTTTCGGAATTTTTTCAGGCTTTCATTAGGCTAATTAGCGCAGTGAAGTGATGGAGAGTGTTGCGAGCAGTGTTTCGGCTGGAACAGGTTCACCGTTGCGCGCGTATTGACCTTTCCTCTCAACTTTTTCCTGAAACTATGCCGAAGAAGAGGAGGTCGTAAGGTTAAATGGAATAAGAAAGCAAAAACTAATTGCCTCGCGGTTCACAGTTTACGCGTTCAGCGATCGACACGAGGAACCAGCGAACACGAGCACCAAGTTCGCCTCTTATTTCAGTTTTCTACACTTCGCTGAATTTCACGATCA